TACATAAAACTAAATTAACCTGACAAAACCAGAATTAAAACACGTTGAGCGGTGAGGCTGTGGATCTTAGGGCCTGTTGAATAGCTGGGCACTAGCACGTGGCCTTGCCATGCATGTGACTTGGCAGAGCACCCATGGCACACACCCTATAACCTCCTGATTCCTAAATTTGTCTCTGTTTTCTTAGGTCCTTCTACTTCTTGCATTCCCTCAGCTCTTTTTCTTTTCTCAAGTGTGTGTTCAGTTTCAGACACACATGCGTAGTCAAAACAGGAGGAAAAAATACTTAGCTCAAATCTTGCTTCCTGCCCTGTGGAAGGCAGCCTTCCTGCATGCTGTTGCACTTGGCCAGAGGTGCAGTGCTGCTTAGCCACTTGTTAGGAAGAATAAATGTGGAACTTGGTTTTGGACAAGTGACCCTGACCTTTTCAATCCCCATCACCACTTCCCAAACTCCTGCATTACTTGTTGTAATTGCTTGTACAGATTGTAGAATTGCTGATCTCTCAAGACATGGGGAATGCAGGAGATGGCATTTTACAGTTTGGAGTGAAAGTAGAGGGGGTACAAAAAGCTTAAACTCAAAATTAAACTCTCTTGAAGGTATTTTTAAAAAGTACAAATAGTATTTTAATAATTGTCTTATGTGTTAGGAAAAACACTGTGCTTAAAATTCAAGCACATGCAAGGAAGGTTTCTGATATGAACTGGAGAAACTGAAATAAATTTCCTTGTACTATTTCCTCTCATCCAGAGAGGATGAGGTCTCATCCTCACAGACCAATTTAAGTATTACCTACAGGTGACATTGGAGTATTTTCGAAGAGAAAAAAAACTCCTTCCCTTTGGGCTTGGAACTTGGCAGCCAGGAGAACTTTGAGTGGTAGGGCTGAAATTCTTATTAGTTGAAAGCTTTTGTTGCAGGGAGACTTGCTAAAAGTCCATGGGACTTGTGTGCTCATAACTTTGTGACTTTCCATTGCAACCTGCCCCTCGGAAGGGGAATTGCAGGAGCGCGGGAAGGTGCTGACCCTCCCGGGAATTCCTAAGACCGGTGGCCCAGCCTAGGAGGCAGCTGAAAGGCATCACTTAAGGGTTTTGCTAACTTAATTGTAGCCTCTAAAAGATCTTCCTAAAAACCCTTGGCTTTGAAGCTCTTGTCCTTGGTGAAATTGCTGTTAAAGAGGGAAAAGAGGGAGACTGGCCCAAGGAATATCAGTTTATCTTCCCCAGATGGGGCTTGCTTCAGGAATGCAGACAAGAAAATATCCTTAGTGCATATGAAAGAGTTAAATCCATTGTGTTAACTTTTTTTTAAAAAAAAAAATGAACTAACTTTCCAACAAGCAGCTTATTCTCTCATTTGACCGAGCCTAAATGTCTTCAGCTTTAGACAATTATAAATTGGCAAAAATACTAAACATTTTTGGTTTGATATGAGAACATTTCCTGTAAAACAAGTTTGCCTTCCAGTTCAAGAGCTTTCTGCTTATAGAGCTAATCTGCCGAGAGCTGTGGGATCTGCTTGCTTTTTGAAACGTTTGGATGATAAAGCCACTCTGTGGCTTTAGTGAGAAATAAACTGAAGCAAGAATGTGTTTAATACTTTTTTGTATGTATGGATTAGTAGACTTTGTCTAAAATGTAAAATAAAGACAGAAACAGGTAAATCTAAATATGTTTTCAGTAACAGAAACAAAGGGCCCACGGTGTCATCTAGGGGGACTTCCCTGTGAGGTGGCCGGTGCGGTGGGTCTGTTTGGTGTCTGAAATCTTGCAGACCCCCCATGCCTTACCCCTCCTAACCCAGCACACAAAAGAGATTTCCTTTGCTCCTTTTAGAAACAGTTTTAGTGTTTTTCTATTTCATTATTTATTGGCCCAGTAGCATTTTCCTGGTGTCTTACAGTTCGTCTTGAGCCTTGGAAGCTGCTCAGTGTAGTAAAAGGCTGTGATCCGTGATGCCTGTAAATGAAGATTGGGTCTAGCTCTGTTACTTTCATGAAAAATTAAATCGAAAAATGAAGGGCAATGCGTGGTTATAAACAAATTTCCATTTTGTTTGATTGTGATTGATAGATCAAATTAGTCTGTTAGAAGATGCCAGCTGTTAGGGAATAGCTGTTTTCTTGTTACGGTTCTTTGTTTTTGATTTGTGCAATCACAAGTTGTCATAAAATTTTTATGGCTTCTGGTTACTTTATTATAGTTATTATCAGTCTTTCTAAATCAGCTTATAAATATTAATTTAAAAATCTATGCTGGATTTTTTTTCTTCTTTTTTTTTTTTTCTTTTTCTAAAAACTGCACTGCAAATGTGAGGGAGAGAAGTCAATAGAATGTTTTTGCACTTGGTAGGAATCTTTTGCTGGGGAGTGTTTGTGAAAGACTATTTTCAGTTCTGTTAAGTTAATCTACAACCATTAACTGATTTTATAAATAATGACTGTCCCCAACAAAAGCCAGGGTAAATAAAAGTGTGGTGAAGATTCTGTTATGTCCCATATAGGTTGTGTTCCAGCTAGTAGAAGTCCACAGTTTTCTCTGAGCAGAGATCAGCAAAAAGGAGCTCTCAGATCCTGGCACAGTGCTGCCAGTAGCATTGGTTCTCATTTTGCATCTCATGAAAATCTTCCTTTTATGTCTCCAACAATAGAAAAAAATATTCCTTTATTAACAGAAAGCAATTTCTTGGGCACACAAAATATTTTTTTAAAATCGCGTCCAAATTTTCTGAGCGAATCTGAACAGTTTTGTCCACATGTTGCCAAGTATAAAAAAACATGGAGAGTTGAAGGGAAGGGAGAGAAAGAAAAGGCAACATTTTTAGGGGTAATAATGGCCTTAGGCTATACCTTAGTCCCGAATGAGGTGTTGAAGTTTTGCATGTGGAATTCCTGGATCAGAACACATAGAGTTTTTTGCAGTATAACCTCATTTTTATTAAACATGTCCTTTAGAAGTAAGCAGGTACAGTTTAGTAGAATGGAGGAGCCAATGATAAAGGAAGAAGGCAAAGGTTAGCCTCTAAATTCAGACCCCAAACTTGGAGAGTGGCAGTTCAAATCCGCCTTTGAAAGCTCTTTTTCCCATGAATTTGATTTTTCTATTATTAGCAGCTTTTTTATCAAACCTTTTGCATTTATTAATGAATATCCCCATTTGAAAAGACAGACAATAGCAAAAACCATATAATTCCAGGCTGTGTTTTCCATTATTAACAATAACAATAGTTCTCCTAAAATTAGAACAATTCACATGGGTAGAAAAATCAGCTCCTGATTTGCCCCTAGTCCTGCGACTTGCAGAACACGGGAGTTCAGCAG